TATTTATACAAACAATTAAATATTAATTTAATACAATACATACTCGCACGTCCCAATTTTAAATTATTTTTATATTTTAATGTTTGGTTGTAATACTTTTAATTTATAAGTGACTTCTAATTAATTTTAAAACGAATATAAAATAATATTTTCTTTATTTGTATTAAATAAATAGTCAAATTCTTATCTAACTCGAATTGATGGCATAACAAACATAATCCTCTCCTTGACTACCTGCAAATTAATCACCTTAAGCGCACATCACTGTTTCTCGGATTCCAACAGCCTTTGGGACCTATAATCGAATTATCGAATTCCCTAGCCAAGCATTTATGCTCGTTTATGGAATATCTGTGCTAATGCCTCACATGTAAAACTCCTTGGCAACGGCTTACGGCTTACGCACCCATTTTATTCATTCGGATACTTGCAATATTTAATAAGAATGTCTCAATTGGTTAGGGAAACAGACTCACACACACACACACACAGACAGGCTATGCCTATGTGCTCCTAAATTCAGGCAATCACAATTTATATTTTCTTTTGCAGCAAAAACTCTGCAGTTCCTCCCGCCCCTGGTCCACACGTGCGTTGCCCTCTCGACACGAACTACATAAATAAGCGAACAACAAAAGATGCTCGAGGGGGCCCCTCACAACCGACGCGGGGCGGTACGGAACGGTACGGAAGGGAATGGAGGCGCAGAAACTTTTCCAATTTTCCCCTTTTTATCGTAAATTACGCACAATTCAATATTTGGCCTTTTTACTGTCGCTGGTTTTGTGTCCCCGTTGCCCTTTTTCTGCTTGACTAGCTCCCAAGTGCGGCTGGGGCGGCTGATAGTGCTGCGGGAGTGAGGTATTTGTGTGCAATTTCTTTTCTTGTTTTTGCCATTTTGATATTTTTTGTGTGTCTCTCTATCGTAAATAAGAAATCTCATACGTGCGTCTTCTGCCTAGACCTTTCACATATCAGTCCACTCCCACTCCCACTTCCACTTCCACTCTACCCCGCCATCCCTTCACATTATGAATGGGTAAGTAAAAGTTAGTTTTACTTTTGTTTCTCTAATCGAAATTGGCCAATGCGCCCACTAACTGTAATGATTGTTTTTCTATGCGTCTTAATTTATATTTAGGCATTATTTAGAGTGGAATTCGACTCGAAGGAGGCTTTCACAACTTATTGCATTGTCCTGGGCTGGCAATTGAGTAGCCCAATCTGTAGCCCGATTAAAGTAAATGCTAATGTAAGTAACATCGATTTTTTGTTATTACCCTAATCTAATTCTAGCTCAATTATTATCATCTATAATCCACAGTACATACTCAGTGATCGATAGACAACTGTTCCACAACATGCTGATTAACGATTCTTACTTTCTTTGTTTATTATCGATCAATCTGTTTATATTCAATCAGGTCATATATAATACACAGTATACACTCCGTAATTTATAATCGAATTCTTTTTTGCTTATTTTTTTTCTTCCCCACTATTTTATGTCAAGTCAAAGAATATCGTCGGCTAACACCTCGTATACTTATTAATTCCAGCTTCAGCTTTAATTGCTAAACCTCTCGCAATGGTGGCCATAAAAATCGCCTTGACTGCAGCAGCTGCAGCTGGCGATGCCATTAAAGCGCATTGTCGTTGCTGTAGGCAGTTCACGGGGGACGTCGCCACTCCCCCGCCACGCCCTCGCACACTGCATGGCCATAAAAACATTTATGTAATTGCTGTTATCGACAAGCGCCCACCCAAATGGCCACGTTGTTCCGGCTGTAAACGGCTGTAAACGGGCCTTTAATACACTTTTGATTGGATTGTCGCACAAGTTAATTGAACGCCGCGGCGCAGCGAAAGCCGCGCTGTAAGCCACTGGGTCCGCCATTTTGGATTCGTGTGACGGCAGTTATATTCGAAACTAGTTGGCAGCAGCCTAAAGCCCTAACAAGCGCTGCCAGCTCAATGGAGCGCATCGACGAATCGCAGATTCATGCAAGCTCATTAGGCCAAAGTTCATATGAGGCAAGAGAATGCCCCAAACAGCGATTGCTCCGCTGTCAATCGGTCCATTACTGTGTAGTACTCTATAAGCCCGGAGTCCACTCCGAACGGCCCCATCGACAGATATCGAAGCCGACAACGGTGCAAGTCGTGCTACATCGTGTCTGCTGGCAAGTCTTGCCTGAATGCTTCATCGCATTTTTATCTTTTGTTGGCTAATGCGCTAGCAAATTGTTCGAGAATGACCCGCGTAAATTTCATTTCTACTTGATTTACTGTAAATTGTATTGCAGACAACACACAGCGCACAGAAAGAAAAGGAAAACGTAGTCGAAAACGAAAACGAAAGATAAACCGAGCATGCCATATAAATGGATAGCAAATGTGGCAGACTTTTATAAATTGTTTGGGGCAAACTAATTTTTGATTCGCTATGCATTCGATGTTTGCTTCGATGGGCTTTGCCAAATGGCAGTTGATTTGTATGATTCGGCATTCGAGCAGCCCAGAGCCCCTCCCCCTATTATTGTAGATGTCATATGCAGAAAGGTTGATCATTTGCTACTTACCCTTCTGATAGCTCATGATTTCAAGGCTGTTCTGTGCGCATAAAGAGAAGCTGAGTTCCGCTTAAGCCAAGCTCTGCAAAGATAAATTGAAAGCACATATTGTATAATTTAACTGTATTAACAGATATTAATCTATGGTGTATCTTAATGGTATTGCGACTCTTTTGCTACTTCCGCAAAAACTCCTCTGCATTCACGTATTTATCTTTCAGCCGTAGCCAAAGCGAGGCCCGCATCAAGTTGCAAGTGAGCGAAGGACTGAGCTGCGTCGTGTAAACAAATTCAAGTTTTACCGGCGTTAGCTTTCTTAATTACAGCATGCAACATTTTCATTAAATTGAGGCAAGCCCTGAACATGAGGTCAAGTAGTTTTGAAGAGAGCTCATATAGTGTGATTTTGTTGGTAATTCTAGATAATTGTGTTTGTAGAAAACAATATGTGAAATACTAAATATTATTGATATACGTAAAAGTGAATGAAATTTTGATTAGATTTATAATTTAAGTCAAACGCAAAAAATACAAGCGAATTCAAGATAGAAATTTATACTAAGAAATATTTACTGGAGTGAAAAAAGTATAGCAATAATTTAAGTAATAAAATATGAAAAATATGTTGTTGACAAATGAGCCCCACCTTCAAAAGTCATGTCTCGATGGTGCAGTGCTTATATAGGTCTAAATCTCAAAATCTACCAGAATATTTTGACCTCTCCTTTGTCTGCGAAGTACACTCTAAAACAGGGTATAAAAACTTCTGGGCTGCGCAAAAGAAGCAAAGGAAGCAAAGGTTAGGTGACAGGATACTGGCGTGTAAATATATGCTAGACTTATGGTAAGGACGGCTCATGCCTTAAAATATATTGAACAAATCCATAATATTTGCGATAAAACAGGCTCCTCATAGCTCGGTGTTCATTCAACTTATAACATATGTATAGAGAGTGGCGCTCATGGTGCTACCAGATTAGAGTGTAGTTAATTAAAAGTTAAAGGCCCTTCCATTGGTAACTTAAGGCCTATAATATATTGTATATAAATATATATATAAATACTAAATACATGCAAAAGGACTATGGCTTCAATCAAACTTGTATGCAGACGCCTTTAGTCATTCCCGAATATTAAGGACATTAAGTTGGTAGCTAATGACTCCGCAGTAGTTGGCCAACTTCATAGCTCGCAAGCAAAGGCAACAGGGCCAGAGAGTTTGAGCCTCGTTTTCACGCAGAAGCTGGCAGAATTTGAGATCCCAAATGCTCAGAGTTTATAAAATTAACGTTGTCATGGCATTCAAGCAGCCAGCGTTGCCATTTCCCTCGCCCACTTGCCCCACTTTCCCCACCTGCCGCCCCTTTGTCACCACTTGTCATGCTCCAAAACATCCTTTGAGCTCTCGCTGCGCATTTGTATGCGTTTTGCCTGATTTATGTGTAAGTATGCCAATATGTGTGTGTGTGTGCGTGTATCTGCGTGTGTCTGTGTGTGTGTTTACGTCTCTGTCGTGTTGGCATTTGTCGTTACAAACTTAATTAATGTTATGCTGCCACCGCCACAGAGCTGCCCTTGTCCTCCAGGCTCTTGACTTTTGTCGAGCGCCGCAAAAACTGCAGCCGGTTGACACTGCGCCACTGTCAGTTTCAGCTGACGTTTGGTGTTTCCCACCCGCACCCCCCGCCCACCCGCACTCGTTCCGGTCCGACGTTTTGCATGTGATTAGGCGAAGTCTGTGTTGGAGTTTCACAGTCCTGCTGCCTCTCTTCCTCTTTCTCTCTCTCTCTCTCTGTCTGCGTGGGCGTGAGTGCTGCAAAAATGATGCTCAGCTTTTGGAAAATTGTGTGTGTTTCTGTTGACATTTGGCAAAATCGCATTGGCAGCATTATCCTTATTGGCATAATCAGCGTTTGGCTTTGAGTTTGTTTGCTCTAAGGTTTTGGCTGCTTATTTGCTTAGCCGCTGGGTGCTGGCTGCTGGCTGCTGCTGGCTCAGCTCGGTGATTAGCGCTTCGATCCCGCCGGCTCAAGTTAGGGACAAGTGTTGGCCCAACTCCATATTAAATTGTCTGTGAGCTGTGCGCTGTTTAAATTTGCACAAATACGTGCTGCATTTTTCTATTCCTGGACGGGTCGAGAGCTATCGCATTTGTGGTATAGTTGGTGGCGGGGCGAAAGGGATCCAGACAAATGCCGACTTTACTTTGTGCAGCAGCGCGTGAATCGGGGGTGGGGCGAGGCAGAGGCACACAAATGCAACGTCTGAGCAGAAGGCCCACAAACACAAAAAAGAAGCGAACCTGAGCTGCAGGAACACTTTATTTGTTTATAGCGCAAATGGCGGCACAAAAAGTGCAACACAGCTGCCGGCTAAAAGGCAGCGCAGCCAGCGGAGGCAGCGAGTGCAGCCAAAGAGCAAGCGCCTCCTGCCAGGACTCTTGTGTGTAGCGCGCATTGTCAATACTCCTGCATGGAAAGGGGGCGTGCGAAGGCTTGCCAGGGCAGCCAACGCAGCTTATGTGATGTGATTTGTAAAGGTGTGTGTTGGGGGGTGTGCGAGTGTGAGTGTGCACACATGTAAGCATGGTCTATTGTCTGTCTGTCATGTGTTCTGCTCGTGCAGTCGTAATCAGTTTGCCCTGCCGTAAATTGTGTGAAAAGTGAAAAGGATTTGTTGCGCTTTGTCCTGCCCAGAAGTAAAACGGCATGTGATAATGCTGAGAATCATTTCTATATAACATCTGATATTATATGCGATTCCAAGAACCGTCACAAGCTTTGTCGTCTTAATGAGATTCCGAGTTCCATTAAAAACGGATGATACAAAATTTTTAAATTTGTCTTCATAATTTAGAATTAATAAGTATAAGATAAGCTCTGGCGATCTGGAGTTACCATATAATCAATAGATGTATTGTATGTATATCAAATTGTTGGCATCTGTCGCATTTAAGATACTTTAACGAATCATAAATGTGTCCAAATTATAATGAGCTATCAGCTTATAATGCAAAAGGTTAATGATAATTTTAGATCCTATCAACAGTTTTATGAATGTCGAATATGAATAGAGGATTACTTAAGAGATGTAACAACAACTTACACAGCTTTATATCTCCATAAATCCATAATAAATATGTACTATGTAGATGCTGCCTCTATACCTTCTGATAGAAAATCAGCTCTCAATTCAAATATTTATCAGCAGAGAATGTTTCAATTCCTATCAATGTGAAAGCCTCTTGTTTGTTGCACTTGAAATTGAAATACACACTTTCTATATTCCACACCCACACACACACACGCATTATGTGCCCTTTCAGCATCTTTCCCTTCGACTGGCCCCGACTCCTGCGCAGCATCTGAGCAGCGGCCACATCGGCAACATAATTTAAATGCCAACTTTAAAATGTTTACCAAACGCTTCATCCTAGTTGTAACGTAAATTTACGGGCCAGCAGCTAAACAAACACGGAAACACACTTTCACACACACACGCATACACTCACACACACACACACTCACTGCCAGCTACTGTGCATGTATGTGTGGCTGTGGTTCGTCTGTGCTTTCTATTTGCGCTTAATCCATGGACAGCCGCGCTAAAAAGCATGCTGCACTCTTCTTCTTCTTTCTTTTTTYGCTTGCATCTCCAGGCGCGAATATCTATGGAACGAAAAAAAGATTCTGTCCAGGCGACTTGCTCATTACGGTGGCAATTTTTTCTGTTTTCGCGGCAGTTCGGAGCGCCTCATTATGTTGGATTTTAATTAAAATTAATTACATTAAGTGCAGCAGGCAAACATCAAGCAACACACGCCCCACCTCGCCCCTCCGCACGAGCCAGAATCGAGCGGGAATCGGGAGCAGGAATCATTCCATATACAAGGGGGGCGTGGCAGCAGCTATGCAGCTGTAGCCAACGTGAGAGATTTAATGCACTTGAAGCGCTCAGCTTTTTCACGAACTTCTCAAATTTGTGCCAAACGGAAGGCAAACAGAAAGCAAATCATTGTTTGCTTGTGGATGCAGCCAATGCAAATACACTTACTGCTCAGTCATGAACATACAAATATACAAAGATCACGTAAATGCTTGAAGTACATAGCGGATTCTATGAATAAGGACATGAACACTATCCATACATACCCAGCTTTAAGAATTTGAAAATCACCAACAACCTCAGCAGTAGATACAATAGATTCTAGATATGCATTAATCTAGGATAAAAACCTATTCTTAGGATACTAAAGATCAATACTAAACTGAACACCATCACAGACTTTCCCTTGCTGAATATTTCAAGTATAAGTTTTACCTACTGAAAGCTAACACAGGATGAACGAGTTTCCCACAAAAATGCATGAAAACTATTGTAGTATAGTGTAGCTCTGTATAGTGTAGCTCTAAAAACCATCGCAACATAAGTCCAAGTCTTAGCTCATCGGAAACCTAAGGTTTAAGTTTGCACTAGGAGTTTCTCCATCAATATATCCTTAAAGCAGACAGATTTCAAATGCCAATACTAAAATCTCGATATGGTATTCTAATGCAATAAAGGTAGTTATCATATTATTATAAATGTTGTTATTCACAGTAAATTAAGTTTGTTTGATTTTACAGAATAAAGACATACAAATGTAGTAAATATAAGAAAATTTTACGTAATAAAATATAAATAAAAAAAATAAATAAAGCAAACGATAGATTATCAGCACATAAAAATAATAATGGAGCTGGAAAGAGGATCAAATATTATTTTCATTATTTATAAAACTTTAGTGTGATATACTATTAAACCTAACAATAACTAAGACACTAGCTTAACCATAAGCAACGTGCTGCTACCTCAGCCCCTCTAGAGGCGTTGGCCAGTTTCGATGTCTATGTAAATATGTAAACTATAATTTGATATATTGATATCTTTCCGTAGAGAATTGGGCAAATCGAAGAAGATTCACTTTAAACCCGATTCCTCTGTAGATACTATATATTCCTATTATTAATATAAACATATGAACACATGTTTATAAATTCATTATATTATTATAAGGTCTAGATGCTCGTCCAACTTTAAGTT